AGCAACTGAAACACTAAATGGGATTAAACAGATTCTGTGCCACACCAAGCACACACAGCACCCCCTAACTATATAATTTGGATTAAACCCTCTCAGAAATGCATCCTTCCAGTCATTAACTCTCAGAAACAGAAGGCAGAACTTGCTGGTTTGCATCCTAACGTTAGACAATGGGGCTGGAGTTGGGGTCTGTCTTGTCCCCCAGGGTTCTGGAAGCAAAAGGCAATTGCTGATGGATGGATGGGAGATCCATGGAAAGCCAGAGGTGACACCATCCCTTAGCTCAGAGCACTGAAACATCCTCTGCCCAATCCCACACCACCAGGGACAGACAGCAAGACATCATAACTGGATCCCAAATCCCTGTCATTCCACTAAATTCTGCCACATCCACTGATTCTGCTTCTACAACACAAGAATCAGACAAGCAAGGAAAACCTGTGAGAGCTACATCTGATAATCCAAATATTACATTAATGCCATCAATCATCACACTGATACCAAAAAAGGCATTTGAATCTTGCACAGACAACGAGCACAGTGAGAGCTGAAAGCTGCATCTCTGTGGTCTGGGAGAAATGTGCACAGAGGAGAGAAGGAAGAAATGTTTTATAAATTCAGACAAACCCTAAGTATTTCCACTGTGATACAGCAACTGTGCCCTTCCTGGATTGATACCATAATGCACACAAAGTGTAACAGCATTTAACACCAAAACTCCTATCTCAACACTGGAAAACATGGCAGTATTCTGGAAAATAGACCAAGGAATGACATCCCCAGCATTTCAGTACTTGCTGTACAGAGCACTATTTACAGTATTTTCAAACAGCTACAGCAGATGCAAAAAAAAAAAAAAAACCAAAACCAAAAACAAAAAACCCTTACAGTAAAAAGGGAGTTTAAAAAACCCAACAATCAGTGCAATTACTTTCTACTTGAAGTCTTCCTTAAGAAAGATGGCATGTGTGCATCAAGAAGCATGTGACCAAATGGAATATAAAAGTAAAAAACAAAGGACTGCCCTGCATTAGGAATGGGGAAAGCCACACAGAGAGGTACTATGGTAGGAGAAGAGTATTAAAAATATAGGAAAACAAGTGATTTTAATTACACTGGTCTCAAGTGTGAAAAATACTGAGAACTCTTCTTACATTCCTTTAGTTAACAAGTAAAAGATATATTAAAAAAAACTCCCTTATGGGTTATTTATGCCACCAGAGATGCTTATTTGACTGAGTCTGCCATTTAATCAAAAGCCTTTGGGCACATACACAACTTTAGTCAGAAAGAAAAACTTAGAAGCATCTTGGAAACTTCAATCTTTTCAGAAAAAAAAAACTAAACTCCTCACACCTACCCTCCAGAAGTTTTAATTTGAGAATCCTTGTGGAAAAACCTCTTGTCTTATGTTACAAAAATGATCCAACAAGAACAAGACTGTTACAACAGACAAAGGCTGCAGGAGTTATTGAGAGAGGCAGAATTAAAGCCAAACTTTAACAACCTTTTTGCTTTTACAATCAGGGAATGTTGCCTGGGGGCCTGAATGGAGATCAAAGGTATTTGTTACCTGACAGATCAAGAAACAAGGGAATTCCTGTGCCAAAGCCTCTGGAACATGGAAGATCATTGATTGTAATTCACAAAGTCAAATATTCTAAAGCAAGCCAAGCCAAAATAAGGAGCTCTAATAAAACAAATGACCTCACTCTGTACATCAGTGCATACACACACGTGTTAAATTGCATAGGGCTGTCTTAAATGCCACATAAAGGCAGAGACAAATCCACCTCCTTCCAGCATTTTCCAACAGGACATTTGCTCCTAAGGATCAGCTCAGTTGTTTCCTGAGGGCTGGAACAGATGGAGTGGACTCACTACAGCACTGCAGCAGAAATCCCCACCACCAAGCAAACCTCACTGTTGCATTAGATTTTGCACATCAGGGGAAAAAAGACAAACTTCTAAGTATTTTGTGTCTTCTGATAGAACTTGTCACCTCCCAAGAGGAACATTTCACACTTGCTGATGCTGTTTTGGGGGGGTTGTGCAGTGGTACTCCTTTGCACGGGCTGGAAAATCTCCAAGTGCCCAAGGGTGGCAAAGATTTGGTTATTGCTGAGCTGACCTGCACAGTGACCCAGACTCAGAGCTGTGACCTCACCTGGCACTTCTCCACTAGCAACCTGGGGGAGACTGAGACTTGAGCTTTGTGCTGACCTGAGATGTTGCTGTTCTATACCAGACATGTGGGAGGTACAGAATAAAAAATAATTATAGGATTTTATGTGTTTGTGGCAGGTGTTTTTGGACAGGAGACATTCTTGAATAGGTAATTTATGTTAAAATATTCCCAGAAAGAGAAGGTGCTGGACTTTACAAAGTATATACCTAACCAGTATTTTTTAAAAATGCTTTAAATTATTCACTAATTCACCATTGGTGAATTACTGGAAAAGGAGGGAGAAACAAGTGAGACATGAAGGTTAGAAATTAATTTGCCCATCACCAAATAAATACAGACCTCCTTTACCACTTGTGAAATCTTTCTGCAAATCACAAGACATAAAGAATTAGCAGTATTAGAGGCTTAGAAAGGTCTGTAAAGGGTATAATGTCCTGAAATGCACATAAACATCCCAAGTTCTTCATACTTAGGGAAGGAAAGCTACATAATTTCTGCTCATTCCAAGAGGATGCACAAACAACAGCTACTCTCAGATTAAGGGCCTCCCTAAAACTCCTTTTCTCACACAACAAACATCTTAAATAGGATGCAGTGCAGTCCCAGGCTGCTTCAGAAATGAGATCTGAGGTCAAGACAAATCCTGCCCTCCTCACCCCACCTGACCATCTGTACAATTCCATTGTCCCAGATCTGTATGGAAAGAGGGGGATGAATTTCACATCCAAGAGGTCTCTGCATAACAGACAGCAAATAAGTTAAATGATGTCTTAAAATGGATGATCTTTATCCTATTTGATAAGAAGAATTAATATAAAAATAATTCTTATATAAAACTCTGCCAAATGAATATCTTCACTGAAATAGGAAAGCTCTGAAGGAAACACAGAGAAGTGCAAGACACCCACTACGGGGAGGATCTGCAGCTTAGGGGTACTTGAGGGGAGGTAGGTACAACCTTGCTGGCACGCACCAAGACAGACAATGCTACCTAGGATTTGCTTCAAATTTACAGAAATCTGAATTTATAGAACTATGACCAAGAAGACAGTCTGAGCCAGCAGCCTAATCACCCAATTAGAATAGTACAAATATGATTATTCCATTAACAGGTTTTACATTTCTTCTACAAAACACTGACAACTGACACACTGCTACGAGGTGAAGATTTGAACTGGAATTATGTACCTCAAAGTCTTTATGCAGCAAAGGTTGGGCATTTTCTAGCTTATCCAACACCACCTGGTTGCAGCTGACCTGCTCTGTGGCCCAGAGCTCTGCATGGGTTAAAGCTACTTGCCCATCCCAGTGGCCAGAGGTAAAAGTGTCCAAACAGAGACTGAGCAGCTGCTCGGAGAAAAGGGAAAAGACAAAGCAAAATCCATCAGTGGAGGAGAATGAAGGTTTTCCAACCTGCCTCTCAGCATCTTATTTCAGTTATCCCATGGAAAAACAAGTAAGATCAAGTCAGCATAAACAACTTTCCTGGGCTTTTTCCATTTTCTCCTAAACCTGCTCGTGGCATTGTCATTAGTGCAATGGTTTACATGTGTGTTATGGTTTTTATGGATCCAGTGTGCAAACTAACAGAAGCATCTGTCTCATAATTATAATTTTCAATTAATGCTTCTCCTAAGAGAATGGCAAAACTCTCACGTTTCCTATGGATCTTATGCATAATGAAGAGAGTTTCACCTCCCTCCCTAAGTAAACTTCAGTTTCCTAATTTTTATCTTTAATGCATAGATTCTCTGACTTCTGCCTAACTTCCAGTGAGCCACTATCCTCTAGCAGAGCTCCTGCTTCACCACTACTCAACATATAAATAAAATACAATTGTTTTGTGCTTGAATGAATGTAGGATGTTGGTCTTGTGTGCGTCTGAACCGCAGAGGTAAAACCTGCTGTGTTGTGTGTACATTGGAAAAGCCTTTCTGCAAATCCCAAGCTACAACAGACACTGGCTGCATCTCTCTCCTCTCACCACATCGATTGCAATTTTTTTTTTTTGCATTTGAAGAGTAATGTCCCCACAAAAAGGATTTTACTTTCTAAGTTCAAAGCATTCTTGATATGTTAACAGAAGTATAATGAGCACTCCTTAGTAAATAAAAATAAATAATAGCATCTAGTCTATCACATTAATACTGTGAAACATATATAACATTTACATTAACTCAAACAGTGAAAAAGGATTGTACGGTATTTATCACCACAGACCCGTATTCTTTAGAGACTTTGGAAAGTAAGTGTCACAGTCCTGTATGACAAGTCCTAAAGTTAGCTGTCAGTATGATTTAAAAAAAAATCTTTACAATTTTTTTTAAATGGCACATTTTCTTCTGCCAATCTAACTGGAGCTATTAAAAGCTTAGGTACAGGTTTACTATTTTTCATTTTTTTAAATTCAGCTTTAGTCTATGAAAAACATTTTAAAATGCAGCACAATAAAAAACATTCAAGAACAAGCTTCAGAAAATACATTTGTCCTTAGACACACAGAGAATAATCTGAGAATAATCTTTATAAGACAGTTAGAAACCAGAATTTTGTCACGCTCTGATTTTGAAAATAAAAATTTTGTAAATGCTTCTAGAATAATCAAGGCTTCATAAATACTCAAAAAATGCTTTGCTTTCCTTTGTACTAAAAGCTGATTCACAGCTCATCAAACCTTAGTATGAATTAGATCTTTCCAAATTATCAAAAGCAACTCAATGAACAGCAAACTGAATGAGGAGTTTTGGAGTTTTGTGGGTTGGACTGTTGGTTTGTTTGGGTTTTTTTTGTTTGTTTTTTTTTTTTTTCTTCCCTAAGCCCTGAGATTGCAGCTCTTGATTTAATTATAAAATCTGGGTCTGTTTTATACCAAGCAGCTCAGAGATTTTTGGCAAACCACATTTCCAACAACAGTGGGGTTTGGTAGAAGAATGCAGTTTGTGATCAAGTCTGAAATTCTGGACGGAAGGCTTCCTTGCAAATGGGAAAGAAAGGAATAAAGATGCATCACTCATTGCTGGCTGTCCCTGGGCTGGGGCATCTGTTGGTCTAAGTGCAGCTGGTCTGGTGTGAATCCAACTCTGCCTTGTCCGGAGCCGCCGAACACTGGAACACGTCAGGCGAAGTACATCGTGCGCAGCGTGTCCTGGTGCACCTGGACTGCCTTGGCAAGTGCTTGGTGGTCTCTGCCATTGCTCTGGCCAGAAGTGTGGCTTCCTTCAGCACTGAAAGAGAAGGGAGGGGGGGGAAAACAAAAACCAACAGGTTGTGGGTGGGGAGAGAAACCCTACTTAATCTGTCTCTCCTTGCACATGTTTCTGATCTTCAGTTTCTTCTGAACAGAATGGTCAAACATTAATTACCCTTAAAGCACCACCGAGGTTCTGAGCACCTACAGCAACATCTTCTGCTTTGTTTCAGCAGCAGAATTCAGTGGTGAGGGCAAATCCACCCTCGAACTGCTGAGGACACCACTGATCCCAGAATTAACAAGCCCACTGCCTTCCAACTCTGTGAAAATGCCAAACTGAACTCACCTATCGTGCTCTTTATCCACCAGGTGGTACCTGGCTCTGAAGGCCACCAGGTGCGCGTAGTAGGCCGGCGCAGGGATGGAGACGGAGCGCGTGCAGCGCACGTAGGTGTGGCACAGCTGGTAGGTGAGGATCTGCAGCTCGTCCGACGAGAAGCGATTGTCATCCCAGAGCACGTGGTAGTGAGAAGGTCTGCTTGTTCCCTGGAGCCAGACCACACAGCTCATCAGCACTCCCAAACATCTCCTGAACTTCCACCTCTGCTGGGAACTGCAGCATAGCAGCTGCTTCCTCAAGAAGTTCTACACATTTCAGCTAGTTTTTCCTTTAAAAGGCAAACAACCTCCTTTCCTGCTGCCTATCAAACTAAATCCCTTCCCCTTTTTTGATAGGACTGTGTTTCTCAAAATTTCACTTCTGAAATGAAATGATCATACTGAAATACACTTTCCTCTTGAAAACCTCAGATGTGACAAAAAACCATCAGCTAAAGAAGCTCTAGTACAAACATTAACAGCTAAAGAGTTACTATAGCACACAAAATGTCTTACCTGAATCCCAGCATGACTACACAGGTAGAAGTCAAACTCTGAGGGGTGGGTGATTTTTGTGTCCACTGTGGTACCAGCTGGAATGTTTCCACTTTTTCCAACCTGTGTAATCAGGAAATGCAAAAACACTGAGGCACAACACAGAAGTTTGGTTTGGTTTTTTTTTTTTCCTTTTTCAGCTGTATAACCAGGAAAACAACCAGTAGAAAAAGATCTATAAAAAGCAGAAAGTGAAGAAAGAATGTGCAAAACTGAAATTCTGTTCCAACTGAAAACCTAGAGTGGCTCTACTATGGAGAAAGAAAAAAAAGAGACAAGCTGCAAAATCTTCTTAGAAATTACCTAAAAAGATTTGGTTTTCTGAATAATTTAAAAATAAGTTCCTGCAACTGAGTTGTCAAATTCTTTTCATCTTCTCACTTCAGGACAAGAGTAACTTTTCCTGTTTATACCTGCAAAGGGACAATCCTTCTTTGCCAAACAGGCCACCTCTTCCCTCCAAATCTCTCCAAACCAGAATGTTAAAATTCTCCTTACTTTCAAACAATTTAACATGTTTAATCACAGCACTTATTAATGTAACAACCACCTTCATGCCAGCTTTGGGAGTTACTAACTCCCACAGAGAAGCCTGACAGAAGGAAAAAGAACATGGAAAGCCCAGTCTGTGAGCAGAGTTTTGCCATGAGGAACTCTCCATTCTCAGCGGTTGTTCCACGAGGAACAGTTCCATTCCTTCTCTTGGGGAGTCTCCTCTTCCCACAGAAAGTACCAAAAATCAACTTGGGGAGTCTGATCTCCACCCAGAAAGTACCAGAAATAAACAGGAATTGGTGACTTGGCTGCCTGCTGGGTGTTTGGGGGTCCCAAGCAGAACGTACCCGTTCGTTTTTATCCGTGCAGAAGAGTCGGGTGTGGTGCCTTTTCTGCACCACTATAAAGGTGATGCCAGGCTGATAATCCTTCTCCAGTTTGATGCAAGCCTCCCTGATAGCCAGCAGCTCGTGGTGGAGAACCTGAGCCACACACAGAGAGGTGTGATCAACAGGAGCCATTGCCATCATACAAATTCCTCTTATTATCTACAGATTTCTTTTACTTATCCACAGATAATTTATCATGCTCCTTCTTGTACTGTCACTCAGAGCAATGAGAGGTCAAAGCTTTCAGGACCAAACCTTAATTTCTCCTCCTGATGAAGGCAAATTACATCAGCAGTTTCCTCAGCCAGGAGAGAGCTGCTTCCATATTTGTTCAGCTCCAAGCACAAGGCTTGGACTAAACCTGCATATCAAAACCTCCTTAACTACCAAATACAAATAAACATTTAATTAGCCTGCTGAATACAACAGACTAATTATTTCACAGACTAGAACAAGGGATAAAATCCAGAAATACTCAGCTGCCTCTTTCCCAGCTTTGTGCAGCCCCATGTAGGGCTACAGACATTAATAATAAGGAAAGTGGAACAAAGCAAAAAGCAACAATTTGGAACATGGGTTAACTGTACATTAAAAATTCTATGAAAAACAAGGACAATTGAAAAGAGGTTATATCAAAAGTTCAAACAAAGATTATTTTATCAATTCAAATTTATCAAGTGACCTTTCCTCTTTTCCCCCTGGATTTTGAGAAGGTGACTCAATTCTGTTTCTTTTATTTACATACATAAATACTGGAAATAAAATTCTTTAAAATACATAGAAAAATATTTCCTAAAATATGGTACTAGCAAGCAAACAAAATAAATATGAGAAAGGATCTGATGACTTTTATCAGAATAAAAATGACTGTGAAAACCCAGTATTTATTAATCCTCTTTAAAAAAAAAACATATAATTTTTCTTTACTGCCCAAGTTCTACGAGATACAGTCTGACTAATATATCCCAAATAGGAAACAGATGTGGAACATAACTTGAGTGCTAAAACTACACTTTTCACTTATAATTCTGTAGGGGGAAATATTTTAAAGGGGAAAAGTACTTTCAAAAGCACATGAAAAGTATGCAAACACTTCTCCTGCCTAGGTTAGAATCCAACAAATTTGTTGAGGCAAGATTTGTTGAAGTTATACTTCTTGTAACTCCAACCACATAAAAGTGGACATTTAAAATTCCATTAGTACCACAAAACTACACTATCAGAATTTCAAGAAGACAAACATCACCTGTTGGAACTGCCCCTCAGAAACACCATCCCTGTAGAAGATGATGCGAGTTGGTTTGAATCTCGTGGATTTGTAGAACTGGATTAGCAGCTCCCTGACCATGGCAGCCAAATCCTGGATGATTTCCTGGCGGTGCTGCTGCACCCGCACAGTGGCACAGTAACGGTTGGGATGAGCATCCATGCTTCCTACAACCTGGGGAAAAATGCTTGGCATCAAACCAGAGAGCACTTAAACAAAGGTTATTTCATGAGATAACTGCACTGTCTTGCACACTCAGTGCTTGGCCTGGCAGAGATGTATTTGAAATTAAAACGTGCTTGGAAACATCTCTGGGTTTAGTTCACCTGTGGCAGCACACCTTGCTGAAAGAGAAAACTTATTTTAAATCTAAAGGACTCATTTCTTCTTTGCACCCAAAGGCACTTAAAAACTCAAATACAGTTTGAAGGACTGATACCATGAAGCCATTAAGATGGTTCAGACTGCAGCACAGGAGTTGGAACTCTGGGACACCAAGCCTGTTTTCTGGATCCATCAAACTGAAATGGTGATGGACCACAGAAATATCCACACCCTTTATCAAGGGCAGCAATTTTTCTGTTAATGAAATGTTAGCATCCATATCCTGTAAAAGTGGCATGGGACTTAAACAAAAAAACCTAAAGAAGTGAGCACATCTCCACCTGGTTTTCCCTGGACACACAGGTGTAACTTTTTAAAACAGACATATAACATCACCAAATAACTTCATTATTAAACAATCCTGAGCAGCCACTACAAGTGCTTGACAAAACACAAGCTAAAGACCCCTCCCTGTATTTAAGAAGTACATTTCCAAGAGATTACTGCACATTCTGTTTTTTCTGGAAGCTTGAGTCCCCAGAAACCACAGCTGAGCCAACCTAGTTCCCTATCAGCAAAGAAGAAATTCTGAACATTTCTAAGTGCTGAAGAAGCAGATTTAAACGTGCACCAGCTCATTATCAGGCTGCTAATAAATAACAGCTCCCAGAAAAGCTCCTCTGTGTATCAGCAACTCAGGCATTTTACAAGCTAATACCCACATTTAAGTAATTAGCATCAGAGCAAGCTCTCTGAAGTTTCAATAAATTCCTGCAGAAAAATAATTTATAATGCTGTAATTAGGCAATCAGAAGCAATGGACCACAAAAGGACTGAAAGCAATAAAATACATTGGAGCTGAGCAGCAGGAGGGAGCTGGGGCAAAGACCAGGACACAATTTACTCACTGCAGCAATGGAAGGCTTTTTCCCATCCCCAGCTGGTGGGTGAGTTACATCTGCACCAAGGAATATGACAGGCTGTTGGAATACTGGGGGTCTGGCAAAGAAAAGGGAAATTTGTAAAAGCAGCAAGATTTATGCTAAATAAAGTACATTAAAACTCAAATAAACAGCACTCTCTTCTCCCCCAGTGAATTAATCAACAACTGTCACTTCATCAGAGCTGGTCACTTGTCCTGTGCCAGTAATTAAAAATCCTGATTAAGGTTCTCATGCTAATACTTACAATGGACTGTACTCAAGAGAAAAAAACACAGTGGGTATCTTGGAATTCTGTTAATTTGTTGTTGTTTGGATTTTGTTATTGCAGCTATTGTTGCTTCTTTGTCTACATGTGTAGATATTATATATATATATATATATATATATATATATATATATATATATTCTAGTAAAAAACTGTTATTTCTTTATACACATCTTTGCCTGAAAGCCCCCAAAGTTATAATAATTTGGAGGGAGGGGTTCATCTTTCCCATTCCAGGAAGATTCCCACCTTCTTTGGCAGACACCCAACTCCTAACCCAGGAGAGTTTTTGGTGCCCAATGCTGGGCTCCAGGGCATTGAGAGGAAATGATGAAAAAGGAATAACAGTTTCTGGGTAACCTAATTTTATGTGCTGAACACAGAAACCTTGTTAGACACCATGTGGTCCAGCTTAGCCTGGTTTGGCTGGCACATAGCTGTGGCTCCATTTTTCCCATTATCAGCTCCTTATCTAAACATGGATCCTGTGACTAAGGCTACTGTGGCTGTTACCCAGTTTGCACAACAGGTCAATAAGGTGAGCAATTCCTGGATTTTAAACTTTCTCTGGAATGTGGACACATGACTGTACAACTATGACAGGCTAAGTTCATGTCTGTGGGGTTTCATTAATAATGGTGCCCATTGTGAGGAAGCAATACAGGGGGAAGATTTTCCCCAGTCTTTCACCCATTCATTTGGATGTGCCCCAGCACCTTTCAAAAGGTTTAAATTTTTTTCTAGATGCTGATATCATATAATGGCTGGTGTTGCTGAAAGGCCTAAGCTATTTAGCATTTAGAGATAAGGTGGGACTGTCTTGGGTAACCAACCTGACCCCAGAGACAGGGATGCTGCCCAGGGGCAGGGGGCACTGCCCCACAGCCTGACCCTGCCCCACTGCCCATCTCAGGAATGAAGCACCCAGACTGGATGGGGGTATGGGAGGAGACAGGGAAGGTGCTGAGGGAAGGAATACTGTTCCCCAGCTGGTGGGAACCCCTCTCTCTCCCTGCCTCAAAGAGGGAAAGGCTGATGGTGCAGCTATGGAACCCACAAGCCTTCCAGGCTCCAGGACCCAGGACACAGGTATTGACTGGGTACTTGAAGGGAGCCAGAGCCCCTTCTTCTCTGGGGGCAGCTTTTAATGAGGAGAGGATTGTTCACGGAGACACAATGCAGGATCACCATCACAGAATGCCCTGGCAGACCACTGAGGAAGGAATCCAAGAGCTGAGAGAAGTGGCAGTACCAGAGGTACTTTTTGGGAGGGATGGACAGCATGGTAACAACCCTGACAAAGTCAGGTGCACAGGGCAAATGTCGTGAGCCTGGCACATCCAGGGCCACCCCAGTACTCCACTTTCATGGCAACACTGAATGTGGAGGACACCTGAGAGCCAGTGGCTCCACAGCCAGCAAACTCAGGAATTCTGAGAGCACAGTCCATGGATTGATGCAGGCTCACATCTCCACTGTGGTTAAGAGACTCAAAGAGAAGAATGCTGACCAAAAGAAAAGGCACTGCTGTTCTAGGTGGTCTCTGTTTTTGAAAACTCAGGGCAAATAGAATATCAGAGATTTTTCATTCTAGTGACAGTTGTGTACTTCAGTGGTCAGATACCATTAAAACAATACTTTTATTATAAATTTCAACAGAAACAAGTATTCCTCTCCTGTTTTCATAGCCTAACTTTTGTAGGATTATTTATTAGAAGCCAAAGGAGAGTTTGTCTGAAGAGTCACTTAAACTACAGTGCTGTGGCTGCAGATAAAAGCTCCCAGTTATCTCAGCATGACCCACGCTCTCTTTGCAATACAAAAACCTCTTCCCCTTTGAAAGATGAACTTACCTTCCCTGTGGCAGCAGAATGTTATTTACACCTCCTAATTTGACATTTATTTTTAAACAAAGGTTGGACAGAGTTTGTGGTGTTGTTCTTTGGACGTTTTTCATCTGCACACACTGAGTGGCCATGCCCAGCACTGTGTCGCCAACGCGCTTCACCTCCGCTACAGAACGAGAAAAAACAATAAAAGATTTGCAAATTGCAAATCAAACCATGGAGGAGACTTGAATTTGTTGCCAATTAACTACACTTGGAGTTTTAGCAAAGTGGCGCTCAAGCTTAAAGGAACACAATGAAACTTTTCCCCACACCAGAACCTGCTCCCAGTTCTGCTCTGCTCCACCTAACTGGGTCCTAAAGTCAATAACTAAAGGCACTCTTGGCTTATATTAATTAAGAATTTTTAAATTAATCCTTATTTTAGAATTGTAACATTATATCATGAGCTTTGGCTAATGACGTGGGTAAGATGGATAATATTATGATATTGAGAACTTGTTGCATTATTAAACACTGGAACAGCAACACAAACCTAGCAATAAAGTGCTGAGCAATATTCAGCCAAGCAGTTTATCAGCTCTTCACTGCAAGTTTATCACTTGCATAGAAAAGTGGTCAGCTTAGCAGACAATGGTCTATAAAAACACCAAGAAACTCATTAAGTACTGTACAATTCCAATAGTTAAATCAAATCCTATTGTTAGCAACAAAATTGAGACTTCAAAGCTTTCAGAGACCCACATACTCTTACACTCAGGGAAGAAATTTAGGCTCCAAGACTGGCTTGGAGAGGATGAACCCCCCTTTTTGGCAGCAGGAGAGGGAAAGAGCAGGGTGGGAAGAAGAGAAAAGACAAGACAGTGGATATAGGAAGTGCAGGGTATGGAAGAGCATAGGGAGAAAATAAGGAGAGATGATTAGAGGGGGAAGAAATAACTGTAATTAAAGTTAATGACAAAGAAAGAAGATCAGAGTGGTACCACATCCTCTCAGTGGTTAAGTAAAGGAAAAGAATTCCCTTTTAATGCCAAATAGGAATAGTAAAAATGTCATTTTGCACCAAATTTCTATTGTACAAATTAGACACGAAGCTGAATTCAAGGGGGGAAAAAAGTAATATTTCCTTAAGGTTCCTTGCTTAATCTCTTTTTCATCTTGTAAGAGATAATATTAAAGTTGGAAAATTATTTTGTGCTATATTAAAATGTTGAGGGATGGGATAAAACAAATCTGCAGCTGCCTGGTAGATCTGATTCACCAGAGAAGAGTCCACATAGCTATGGGAGAAAAACAGTGGCTGCTGCTCCAGCTGGGCAAAGTAAGTGAAAAAAGAAGGGAGGCAGGACAGGAAAAAAGCTGTCCTGCCTACAGGAAGAGCTTGAAAATGCATGGTTTATGTAAAACATACTAAAACCCATATGTGTATGCCATTAAAATGTACTAGCTGTCACTGTTTCCAAAAGCCTGTTTATTTTGCTGTATTTTCACTTTCTGTGCATCTGTATCCTTGAAATCCGAGTTTAAAATTTGAAATTAAAAGAAAATACACAAATCTCCTTCACTCAACATTTTTTTGCCAAAGGGAGATTGTGTGAGTAAGCAAAAGTGTTCTAAAAGTGACAGAGCTCTTGAAGTCATTACTTCTTCACTCACTTGGTATTTTCAGCACACAAGTTTCATTAAGCATATTATAATCCACTGCCTGTCAATGTCAATCTCACCAAAGCCCTGTGTTGGCTTTCTCAAATGCAACCAGCAGGGAGAATGGGGAAAAACAAATTAAAAGCATAGAAAACATACTGAAAATACTTAGGTCTTAATATAAAACATCATGCAGCACAAGAAAAATAGTAAAATTAGTTTACAGCCCGTTCCCTAACTGGAATTTATAGAGTTAAAACAGCATTAAACCTCTCTCCTTTGGACAGCTCACAAAAAAAACACAAAACTGTGACTGAAATGCACCATTTCCACTCACTGACCATAGACTGGTGTTTTTCCTGGCAAAATGACCACGACAAGCTGCAGCCCAGTGTAAGTGTTCTTGAGGTGTCTGAACATGGGCTCCACGCTGTCGGCTCCCTGGGCATATTTACAGAAGCAAGGCTGCCCCTGGATTGGCATTCCAGCATCCCTGGAAATCTTCCTCAGCTGTTCTGTGAAGGACCTGGGCAAGGCACATAAATACATTACATTATCAGACAGTCATCTTGATTTTTCATCTTATTTATTTTTAATGGAACAATCCTGTTAAACGTGCAAAGTTGTCCCGTCCAAAAACCTGGGAATTTAACCCCATGTGCATCTTTAATTGACAATGCCTGTGTAGTCACTGAAGGAAAGATAGGAAATATGCTGTATAAATAACAACATTAATAAAAAGACCTCATTTCCAAAGCAAATTCTACCTTATTTCTATGGGAATACAGGATAAAATACTTTCTGCAAAAAGACTGCAATAATGACAATTTGGCACAGCCTGCTCTAACATAATTCCATCTGTTACAACCACAGAAAAGGCTGGAGAGTTCTCTTTTTTCTTCATGATGAAAACAACCAACAGAAATTACCAGCAATTGTCTCAGTGAATTGCTTTAGCATCCGTAACAATGCACAATTTCACAGATACCAGAGAAAATGTGTATCCTGGAGGTGGTGGCAAACCTTCTCCTAGGCTGGTGGAAAAAAGTCACCCTTTGATGGAAGTAGTCAGATATGGAGACAACCTAATTTGTTCAGAGGCTTCCACCTCAGAGCCTTTTTATCTCATTGATAAATGCCCTTTTTATTAGGTTGGAGTGAGTAACCCCTCCAGCTGTCTAAAACACTGCTCATCTCCACCACAGGGTGCCAGGGTGTCACTGACTGAGAGGGTGTGGAGATCTAGCTTCTTCCAAACCTCTTGTTAACTTGCATGAATCACAACAGCCTGTGAGCTTCAGCCCTGCAGCCTGAGGCTCCTTGCAGAAAATGAGTATTTCCTCTGGAAAAACAAGCACTTACTACAGCACAGTCAGTGGCAGAACATCTCCCCATCCCTGGGAGTGTTCAAGGCCAGGCTGGATGAGGCTTGGAGCAACCTGATCTAAGACATGGTGTCCCTGCCCAAGGAAGAGGGGTTGGAACAAGATGATCTTTAAGGTCCCTTCCAACCCAAACCCTTCTGTGATTTCAACATTCAAGTCTGAAACAAGTAAGGGTTTGAGCCTTTTAAAGTCCATCTGGAAGTACAGTGCCCATAAGGAAAAGTTTTCTCTGTTCCCAAGAGGTAAAGCAGGATGATTTTGAAGACTTTTAGAACATTTGAGGGTGGTTACTCTGATGAATCAGCAGCATTTGAGTTCCAACTTGATCAACAAGATGTAACAAGAAGCCACAAGATGGAACAGGATGCAGACATTTTCCTAGCATTAAGCAATGTCCTTTCATGGTAAATACAAACTCATTCTAAGCTATCCAAATAATTTTATTTTGGCTCATTATGTTGAGGACTTGTGCCTATTTCTCAAAACTGGGTAACTTGGCTTACACAGCATTTCCACTAGAAGCAACATCATGGAAGGGAAGGTTCTCTGGCAGCCCAGTTCTTGACTTGTGCCTGGAGAGAACAAGTTCCTCCCCTCCTCACACAATGGGCAGTAAAAAGATTCCCAGCGTTTGCTCATCACTTCTTAGGGAAAAGCTCCCAAACTGTTTGGCAATCCATCGGAAAAACAGTGCCACGGCAATGCCACTGGTGTGAGCAATCCCTGCTTTGCATTCACCTCCCAGAGAGCAGCTGAGTCACTGCCAGGGCAGCTCCACAGGCTGCACTTGTCCATGCATGAAGGGAAAGCAGCTGCATGTGGAAGGAGGGATCAGACATGGATCTGGGCCTGCACACCATCCCTGAGCCAACGGCAGATGCCACTGGAACAGTCTTTGAACAATCCTGTCCCAGCCAAAGATAAAGAAACCAAATCTGAAAGTTTCATTCAAACACTTAAAGTCAATAGAACAACCAGTGCTACTCATCTGGCAAATACAGCAACTTGCACGTTCCAGATACTCTGAAGAGAAAAAGCTTTTGGACAAAAAAATGTCCTTCTAAAGAAATTCTGCATGAATAATTCTACTCCATACAGAACACAGAAACCTCATGAGGAACCTAAGAGAACACATATCTTAGCTGTCACCCTTGAGAAACACTTAGTGATAAACACCCATCATTACATCATTTCAGTTACCTTAAATCCTGTCCTAAGGCCTCACTGGTCAGAAACCTGCCATAAAGCATAAATGGCTTTTTTAAAGTCTGATTTGGAGGATTTCCTGATGCTGGCATTGAAATCAGACCGCCATAATTCAAAACACAAAGAGACAAATGATGTATTGCCATATGTTAAACAATTTAACCAAAAATATATTCTTCATAGAAGTGAAATCATGACATTTGCATCCTTAATAAAAGATAAAATCACCACCTTACACAACACACTTACTTAAGATGAACTTCAGTGCACTGGCGTTGGGGAGCAAAGCAGGCAATTGCCCAAACCTTTATTTCAATTCCAGTGTGAAATTGTTTATTTCTCATGTCCCAGACACCTTGCACTGGTGTAGCAATTGCTTTATTCTGGAAGGGGGAGGTAAAAATTAAACATTAATGCAAAAATTGATTGATGCTAAACAAAAATTAGCTTTGCTTCTATTTACCTCCAACTAGCAGGTGATTTATATTCTCAGGTCGTTCTTTCCCCTGTACAACAATCCATCCATCTTATAATAATCATTTTATCATTGTAGCAAGACAGCTTCTTAGCCAGGTGAAAAATAAAACTCACATTGTTCATTTTTATTGCTGATCATTGCCTTTGCTGTATTTATCAGCAGCAAATAGAAATTATATATGGAAGATTCTTGCTTAGTATCGAACGTTAACAAGAACCTACATTTCTACAGCAACTTTACAACTGTTCAGTGAACTTTCCAAGGGAAAGTTAATTTATGTACTGTGAATATTTTACACATCACTAAGTAGAGGCAAACAGTGGTTCAATGTCACTCACACAACTCCAGAAAAAATATGAACAAGCTGAGAAAGGTGATCAGTTACTCAACTTGGACCAGCCCAACACTTTTATTTCTCCCACCAAGCAGATATTACTAGGATGGATTATCTAGAGGACTAGGGATGTAATAAAGCAGCCAAAGTAATTCTGGTGATGTTAATTACCTTAATAAATACTGATAGATGTTTTAGACAGATACGATGTCTTTCTCCTCACCTAGCAGCAACAACTAAAGCTTCTGGACATTTTTCAGGACACACACATGAATCTGATAATGGATTTTGCAAACAGTTGTGTGTGCTGAAGGCAGTGCCTCTCCCACTATGACTTTCCAACATTCATCTGCCATTAAGTTCCCCCAGCCTGCTGGTGCCAGAATAGCTCATGAAAGCAGTCCCCTAATCAGGGTCAGGCCTGGGGTACCTTAACCTGCCAGTGAAGCAAGGTTTGAGCTAATTTGCCTGAGTCAGTTGAAGAATTTTAGGCAGGAAACCCAAGATTCTCTCCCATTATGGGTTTGGAGGCACCAGTCTTTTGTGCACAAGGACAGAATTTTATTCAGCTGGCAATGCATGATCTGAAGAAATTCATCAAAAGCCTCCAAAAATGAAATTATCCCAGCTATTAAAGCTTTTATCTTGCAACAAGCCCCTGAAGGAAAATCTGATAACTGATGGAAAATCCTGTTTCTCAAACTTTTTTAAAAGATATCACAGGAGAAAGATTATGTCAGAAGGGCCATCTGAAAAGCCATTGTGAAATAAAAACCTGTGGCTAAATATTCCAAACAGGCTCTGGGGAAAGACATGTTGATAGAGATACCTCAAGACAGATGCTCTGAACACAGTTGCTCTACCCAGAATATTCAAATCCAACCAGAAGTTCAGGAATATTTCAGCATATTTTCAAATATATACATTGATAATTGAAATAATCTTTGCTTTTCTCCGTACACATTGATTTGAGCCACTATTTGTAGGCTGCTTCTTGCAACACACAATGAAAAGAGTGTTTGAGGCAAAAAAAGGCATTTTTAACCCAGCTTTACTTTACAAAATAAAACAGCAATTGAAAAAGATGCAGATTGGCCAATACATTTAAGGACTTTGAGAACCTAAATTTAAATTCTCAACAATACACCCATGGCAGCTCTCTCATTACACACACCACAATTAATTTAAAATAATCACACTACAGAGGCCATCACAGCTGGTACTGGAAGCCACCACAGACCCCACTGGACATACCCTGCCTCCATAGAGGATTGAGGGGGGCTGAAGGACTCTGCCAGTCACATCTGTCATTTCATCCTTGACCATGATCCCAAACTCTCGGACATAAGGGTCTGTGTTGAAACTCGCACTCCGCATCTGAAACGATCAAAACATAAAAAAGCCAAGCTCATAACCTGTGTGCAGTGCACAAACACATCAGTACCTGCTAAAGGTGAACAAAATTAAGCCCATTCCTACACCTGCCTCATGTTTGACACAACACTCACCAATTTGCTGATCTCTTCCTGCCGGTCTGGGGCTGATCTGGCAGTGGCTCGAATCATAGTGGAAGTTTGATTGTCAGTGAGTTTCTTTATGCATCTTTGTCCTGCCACTATGTTGCACACCTGAAATATCCCCACAGAAAGAAAATTAAACACAGTCCAACTGGTTTTTTTGGCTTGTGGCTTTTCTTTCACTGAGGCACCACAAAATGTCTCAACATTTGGCTGCTCAAAAAACGATTTGCCATTATTTGAACCCTTTTTTCTCCTCTGACTCCTTTAACCCCAGTCCCAAAATACAGAATTCTCTATGAGTTTACTTGCCTCCAGAGGAAGGTATGTGTGTTTCTGCTCCTGTCCAACTTGTAAACATGGAAGGTGAGGGTAGCGTAAAACTAATTTATGCCTGTCCTTAAAATACTGAGCTACAGTGCATTCAACTGTTTGTCCATTCTCCTGCTGAAGTGGGAATCTGTTGGAATGCAAACATGGAAAGCAGCTATTACTTCATGCAAAATGCTTCCCCCACAGTTCCTCAGTACATTTCTTGGCACAAGTTAAGCTTATTGAAGGAGGATGAAACAACGCTCAAATAATTAAGAACCAGATTCAGATACTGATCAGTTATCTTCTTGTAAAAAGCTGGTATCAGCTTTGTTCCTTATATTGCTTCCTTAAAAATGGCAATCACTGTCTCTATCTGCAAATCTCTGGTTGGTAGTTAAAAAGAAACTTTTTTCCGGAGGAAAAAGAGATTGCAAATAAGCAACATCAGGAGGCTGATCCCAATTGGCATTACTTTTCTATTCCAGTTGTGGGAAACATCAGGCTACAAATAGGACACCCTGTTCTTCCAATTTTAAAGAAATCCATAAATAACAGAAAAAACTCCACCCAACCAAAAAACCTCCCAGATTTACAACAGAGCAATTAGTTCAAATGCCATGATACTCATTATAGTATAAAAATAGAACAAAAAGAACGGCAAAATTGGGAAAATACTTTGAGGTATATTTAAGGGTATTAACCAAAGAAAGCACTGTTTTTCAAGGTAGCTTTTCCCAGCCCAGTAATGCAGGCAAGGTATTTTTCCAGCCTGAGACCAAACATATGTTTAAAAAGCAGAAAAATACTTTACGTTTGGTGACTTGCTGGTCGTCTGGTGACATTGCACACTCTGTACTTCCTTTTCATTTGTCCACAGTGTGTTATCTCCACCTTCAGACCTAAAATTTGGACAGCACAAATGACCATTTCTCCAAAATCATGGTGTCAGCCCTAAACTACTTCACAAGGCCAGTTAAACAGCCCAATAAAACCATTCTATTTAGCCCCAAAGCGTAGCCCAGACAAAACTCAAAAGGCAATTTACAGTCTTAAAATTCAAAACTCCTGAGCTTCAGCCAAAGTTCAACAGAGAATTCCAGAGACAAGTTGAAATCCCAAAGCCCCCAGAGCTCACAGATGACGCAGAGCACATTCTGCAAATTCCAGTGCTGTACCTCTAAGGAAGGCCAGGATGGGGAAAGGACAGAAAGGGCACACAAGGTCCTTGAAACAAAACCCCTTATTTATACTTTCTGTCTAAACATACAGGGTCTGTAAGACCTCCAACTCTTGCAGCCCTGCCTGAGCTAATGAACTGGGGGTGTGGGTGGAGAAGAATCTCCAAACAGCCTCTCTAGGAGCTCATGGGAATGAGGCCACAGTGAAGCAATTTGGTGCCTAATTATCCTTTCAAAACACTTAGAACCAATGCAAACTCAGGATTTATTTATACTTTCCTTGATAACTTCTAGTGGGCCAAAGATAATTTTGTTGATGTTTTTTTGAAACACAAAAGGAAGGTGCAGGATGGGTTTATGGATTTATTCTTTTTAAAGTTGCTTGCTTTCTGTCAAGAGTATCAGGAAGGAAGGATCTCCGTTTTGCAGAGGAAGCCTTCAGTGAACAAAACCAGTAAGATTTCTTCCTCCTGCTCTCTTTGATTCAGTCACTACAACTAGAATAACTTGTTATTTACTTCCAAGAGAGTATATGCAAGACAGATGCCTAAGTATGCAAAAACACACTGCTAAATTATTAGTAAAATCTGAAATATTAAAAATCTGGTATTAGTAATTGGAAAAAATTAAGATTGGGTAATTAAAAAAACATTAAATCCCATAAAATTTAAGATTGGGTAATTTAAAAAATATTAAATCCCTAATTAAACATTTAGAAATTATTAGATTAGGAACTGACATATTTTTGTCATGAAACTGGGACTGGTACTACTGATAGGTTTCAAAGGCAAGAAATATGAAATTTTTCTCTCCCAATAAGGCAAACTGCTGTAGAAAATATTTAAAACACAGTGGTAACTACATCAGACAGAATAAAGCAGCTGTATATAATTTCCTTATTACCTTTTATTTCTTTGGTAAACTTTACCCTTTGGGAATCTGTCAGAGGTTTTTGTTGTTCTTCAATACTTTTGAAGTCCAGAACTTCACAGACGAACTCAATAACTGGCTGTGCTTTGTAAAATGCAGTTGCAGACACTGCAGACAAAAACATTAATGGTGTGTTACAAAAATGCTGAGGAAATTCTTAGGAAATCCAAAATATGGAACTAAAATTTTGCCTTCCCATTAAGAAGAAAGAAACAAGAAAGTACTTCCTAGTACCTACCATCAATATTTAACATCATTTTCCACAATGAAGGTCTGACTGATTGATGGAATCCAAACCAAACTTCTCTGCCACCCCCCAAAGGATTTGAGCACCCTTCTGATGCTGTAAAGAAAGATCTCCCCACAGGAGTATACCTGCAAGAAAGCAAATAAATACACATTAGAAAACTAAAGCAAAAATTGCAATAAATCCGTAACTAACGTAAATTCCTTTTCACAAAAGCACAGAAATGTCAGTGTTTAAAATTACCAATAATCTGAGATTCCTGGCAAGACTCAGGTTACATCTCTCAAAACCCAGCTTTTTGCAGTAAGAAACTGGCTACTACTAGGGTTTAAATTCAATATATCTACTAATTCCAGAAAAAAAGCATTAATAACTTTTATTTGTATTCTACTGAAACTTCAGCTGTGCCTCCATAAGAAAAGAATTAAAAGTCTCTGCGATTAAAACACCAAGGTAACAATCTCTTCCCATACTCTGAATTATAGACATTATCTGAGGGTAAATAAGTGATCTAATAAATATTTCTGATCCATCTTGCATCTTGATAATTAAGTACTTGATAATTAAGTACCGCAAGCTTAAGAGCAAGCAAATCATATCCAGAGTCAATGTGATCCTCTAAACAAAGGCATCTGACATTCTGGGCTGTTTTCTGTGCTGTAAAATCTGATGAAAGTAATTTTATGGTTTTTTATCCTAAATTTGAGGATAAAGTCAACAGAAGGCTATTTTAAGACACATATATTTAACTCATATTACCTGTTTAGAGCTTCAATATGGGAAAGTTCAGCCCTACTAAACTTTGTTCTTTGCTTTCTAATTAAATATAATTTGCACAGTGGTCTTAAGTGACTTATGTCACAGCAGCAGAATTAAACCCAGTATCTCTTGGGTGTGACTGGAAATGCTGTAGGTCCCACTTGAAAAACAAACAAATTATTTCCAAGTTTTTCTTTCCTAACAAAATAGCCACAAGGGGTGACATTAATGTTCACCTAGCTCTGAAACCTTTATACAAAATTGGCTATAAACAGCTGTCCAAGGACACAGGAACAGGGTAAGAAGTTGGTTTAAATCCACCCTTCCACATCTACCGACCTCCAAGCACTTCCCACTCAGGGAGAGCCTCCTTCTCCAAGGTTACAGAGGGAGGAGGAGATGGCAGAGCTCCTCTGACCTGAGACACACAACCATGGGGCCAGCTTGAGAACTCTGGGGAAAGGCTCTCGTGGCCAGGCTGGAGGCTCCAGATCCCACCAGGGAAGCACCAATGGCCTCTTGCCTGAGCCTGCCACTGCCACAACTGTGGCCAGGCTATGGCAGCACAGACTGCCCAAAGAGCCACCAAAACACCCAAGTCACACCTAAAGCACCTCAAGGGCTTCCCCTCACCTCATGGAAGGCAAGTGCCTCATGACCACATCCAGGGCCTGGATGGTCTCAAACGGGACACTCGGCAGCCGGCCAGAAAGAGCATCGTGTAAAGCCTGCAGGCTCACACAGGACATCCACTTGACAGCCACCTTAAATATTCTGTCCTTCCCTTCTCCTGGCAGCGTCACCTCCAGCTCCACCTGCAACAATGCCAAACAACAAACCAAGATGATTCTTTCCATTGGAAGGGGGATATCAGAAGGGACAATGGACTCCTCTGAGCAACGACACGGAGCAGAGGAGGAGACAGAAAGCAAGGATGAAGCAACAGCACGCATTGGGTACAGCCTCTTTTTACAGCTCCATCTTCCCAAAGGGGTATTTCAGAAGCCTGGAGTGCCTCCCAGCTGGCATCTATCTCCTCTGCGAGGCAACACTGGAACTTGGAGGCGCTCATAGCAATGGGGAGGTCCCAGTGAAGATCCCATAACCTGATTTCAGATCCCTAACACACCCCAGCGCTTCGCTGCTCGTGTCAGCTCCTGCACACCTAAAATAAAGGGTGTCACCACCTGCCAAGATCCATGAATTTCTGCTATTTATTCTCAAGAGCACCAGAGTGCTTTACATACTGCTGCTGCAGACACAGCTCAAACAAGAGAAGAAAGGAGCTTTAAAAGAGAAAAAAAAAAAATTATCAATCACCCAAACAAAACAGAAAACCACCAAAAGCCACCAAACCAAAACTGTTACTTTGAAAGTAAGAAAAGGAAGAATAAACTACAACCCCCAGTGCCAGTGATGGTATCAGGTAGGAAACAGGGGCACTTCTTTGCCATGTTATGCCCTACTTTGAATTTTTTGTCTAAAAACAGTGGCAAACTACATTATGATGAATTACTTCAGCCAATTACTTGTAATTATTTGTAATGTTGATTTCTCCTCTTTCTTAAAACAAAGAAATTCTAAGCACCAAAGTTTTTAAGCTGACTAAAATTAAGGCTTGTCTGAAATGATCAGGAGGTCTGGGAGTGACTACAAGAAATAACAAGATCAGAGTATCCTTTGTGCTGGATACATAAAAAAAAGTTGCATTTTGCCCTGCTAGGGAGCTTGCAATTTAAATCTAAAAGGCATTCACTTAACAGGCAAACTGTAATTAGAAAAAATAATAGGTGGCTAACAGCGAACTAACATCTGATCTCTTGCAACAATTTGCTATAATCCAAAAATAGGAAGGGAATATAAAACACAATAAGAAGTCTTCCCGTGAGCCCCCAAAATTGAGTAGACCATCTACAGCGGGCACACAAAATTAATATTATAGCTGAATCTCTCTTCCAGCACAAACATCATTCCCCCAGGGAGACTGGAGCCAAAGAAGGAGCTGCACAGCTGTGGGAGAGCAATGGGAACTGAGTCTAATCCTGGGGTCACTGCTGTGAGTCTGGCCCAGGTCAACCCTGCTGAAAGCTTTGCAAAGAAACTTTGCTGTGGTCTGCAGCTCACACAGGCTGGAAACTTTCCATGAGGTCTTTTTTCCACCACACCATCAAAAAGTTCTCATCTCACTTATAGCAGATGGAAGATTCCTGTCACACCTGACCTGCATTTTCCTTTAAACCTCTCCTCCAAATCAAATTTCATCACTCCTGCTTGAGCAACCTGGTCCACTGGAAGGTGTCCCAGCCCGTGGAGGGGCTTGGAGCAGGATGGCCTTTAAGGTCCCTTCCCACCCCAACCATTCTATACTTATTCCCAATACTGGCAACACACAAGTCATCTGATTATTGAACACTTCAGTGCCTTTAATAGAAAAAAAAAAAA